CATAAATATGGTTAGTGCGAGTCCTTCCTTGTTTTGAGTACAGTGGCATATTTTGTATGCATAGCCATAATCGCCATGTGATCTCTAGGTTGTTGCGGTGTCATCCTGAGCGCGGATGGCTTTCTCACATCCCTCCCAACTGTATTTCCCCCCGTTCCGTCCCCCCCCCATACTATCCTAGTCACTCGCTCTTACCACTCCTTGCTCTTTCCACTCATTCCCACTCGTCCCGTTTCGTCGGCTGCTCGTTCCTACTCAATTGGACCCATTAGAGCATCGTAGCCTTCGTAGGCCACAGGATAGATCAGCGATTGTTTAGTTTAGTCACCAACCACTCATCCAGCCACTGCGGCTTTTGAGTCGACTCAAAGGTCACCTAGACTAGTAGCGATTGTTTCCCGTAGTCACCAACCACCCATCCAGCCGCTGCGTTATGCATGCCGCGGAGAGAATCGCGGAAGCGGAGGGATCCGCGGAAGGGGGAGCACTAGGGCAAGCGGAAGCACCATGCGCGGAAGGGGGAGCACTTGGGCAAGCGGAAACTCCATGCGCGGAAGGGGAGGGAGTTTCAGAGGTGCAGCGCGGAACGATGGAGCATGCGCATGCGCATGTGGCGGCTGAATTCGCGGATCCACGTGGCAGTGCGGGGTTACCGGATGCGCTCGAGGGTGACGGTGGCGGCGGCGGGGCTGCAAAGCTGAACGCGGAGGAAGAGATGAAATCGCTGTCGCGCGTGATCGCCGCTTATATGAAGTGAGTGATGCGAGTGGGGCTACAACAGTACAATCCTAGCAGTGCGTGCAATAACGGGTACAGGAGGGAATCGGAAGCTGAACGCGGAGGAAGAGACGAAATCGCTGTCGCGCGTGATCGCCGCTTATATGAAGTGAGTGATGCGAGTGGGGCTACATTCTTTAGCCCCCCCTTGCATCCATCCCCCTCTCTATCAGCTAACCCCCCTTCCAGTGGATGGTGCAGCGGTGGGAGCGAGCCATCGCCATGACACGCCATCCCATCCCCCCTTCGATCCATCTCCCCTCGTCTCTTCCCCCGCCCTTCTCCCCCCCTTTCCGCTTCCCTCCTCCCTTCCCACCAGCTACCCCTTTTCCGCTTCCCCCCTTCGATCCATCTCCCCTCGTCCCTTCCCACCAGCTACCCCTTTTCCGCTTCCCCCCTTCGATCCATCTCCCCTCGTCCCTTCCCACCAGCTACCCCTTTGCTGCCGAGTGGACAGTGGAGCGGTGGGAGCGAGCCATTGCCATGACACGACATCCCATGCCCCCTTCCATCCATCTCCCTCTACCAGCTAACCCCCTTCCAGTGGACAGTGGGCCATTGCCATTGCCATTGCCTCCACCCCCTTCAGTGGAGCGGTGGGAGCGAGCCATCGCCATGACACTCCATCCCACGTGAAAGTAAATCTGTTTTGAGATCTCTGAGTACAATTTACATTCACGTCGCCATCCCATCCCATCCCATCCCATCCCATCCCATCCCATCCCATCCCATCCCCCCTTCCATCCATCCCTTCCAAATCTGCATTTCCTTCTTCCTCTCCCCTCTTCCCCCCTCCCTTCCACCAGCTACCCCTTTGCGGCCGACTGGACGGTGCAGCGGTGGGAGCGGGCCTACGCCAGGCTGTCGCCACGTCAACAGGTGTATATGCCACGTCATCCCTTATAACCGGCTCACGCGTTTCTCGTTCGTTCCCTCCTTTGAATCTGGCTTTGGGACTTTGGCTTTGAAACTGCTCGAAGGCCTTGTGTGTAATCTAGCTGTCCTTTCTTTATTTTCTAACTCCAAGGCTGATTCGTCCGATGCTTCCTGTTTCTGTATGCTGCTTTATGAACGGCCTCACAATTATTTTATAAATGTGAGGCACACGTATTTCCGTTCTCATGACAAGTCTACCTGGTTAATCTCAATCACGAATTTTCATTTTGCCCTCTATTGCTTACTTTCCCAATTCTTCTTTCCACGTGTAAATTTCCAGGCCCTGCTGTCGCATCTGCCCGCAAAATATGCATCCATTCGCATGTGAGTGTCCCACGGTATCTTGATGGATTTACGTCTGCATTTTGTTCCGTATGAGAGCCCATGGTTACACAAACAAACTATGGATTCTCATATGGGTTTGCATGCTTCTACTAGCATGTACTGGCGTTGGGAGTTTTGTTTTGCTGTTTGTGCGTAGGGCGTCTTCTCCATTCCAAGTCATCATTCATGTCCTGCCACGTCATCAAGACATATCCAGATGCATGACACGTCAGCCTCTCACAGGATGCACTGAAGTGATTTTATGAAACAACGCATGCACTCAATGGCCTCCCTAAAATACCAGGTATTTCCCTTTCCTACCCCCATCCTTGCAGGTGCATCGCACACAACGCCCGCTTCCTCACTGAAATGCTTCAGGCGTTCGAGCCTCCCTTCCCTCCCTCCCAGCCTCATGCACATGGTTATGGGGATGGTGCACATGGTTATGGGGATGGTGCACATGGTTATGGGGATGGTGCACATGGTTATGGGGATGGTGCATTTGGGGATGGGCATGAGCATGGCGCACATGGTGCACATGGCGCATTTGCACGTCACCATGAGCAGCGTAGTTGTGAGCATGGACATGAGCATGGTGCATTTGCACATGGCGGTTGTGATGAGTATGCCCATGGGCATGGGGATGGGCATGGGGATGGGCATGGGGATGGGCATGATCATGCATCAGGCAGAGAATATAACCATGGTTGTAACCATGCACCGTCACATGCTGACCACCACCATCATCACGACCAGCAGCAGCAGCAGCAGCAGCAAAGGGCACCCGCAGCCGTGCAAGCAAGGAGCGTTCCTTTGATGGATGATGCTATGGGGCTGGAAGAAAGAGAGGAGGGGTTGAATGGGAGAGAGGTGGGGAAGGACGAAACAGAAGAGGAGGAGAGAGGAGGTGGGAGAAACACCACGTTAGAATCAGGCCCATTGGTAGAAGCACACCCGCCTTCCTTCCCCCAAGTGTCGCCCTCTCACAAGGAAGCACAAGAGCAGCCTGCCTCTTCTAGACCTCGAATTCCCGGGTCATTTGCCAATGTACCCCGGGTGTACCCCCCTCCGTGGTTCCCCTTGCCTCGGAATCTCCCAGACGTGCCGCCTGCTGACGTGGACAAGGTTAGGTGCGTTCTTCGGAACATAGTTCGGGACTGGGCGGCGGAGGGGGCGGCAGAGCGTGAACAGTGCTACGCCCCCATCTTGAGGGAGCTTCGCAGGAAGTTTCTTGGGCTGGGGAGCGCGGAAGGGAGATCCAGTCAAGAGCAGCAGGTGCACTCAGTGGAGATTGCTGGGCAGCAAGTCCCTTCAGAGCAAACTGAGCACGAGATTTTAGGGCAGAATTCGCAGGATCAACAGCAAAGGGCAGATCAGCACCCGCATCAACATCAGCAGCAGCAGCAGGGTTCCAGTACCCCGTCCCAGCAGGATTCCACTCCCCATCCCCATCCCCATCCCCACCCCCCAACCTGCCTCGTTCCAGGAGCAGGCTTGGGTCGCCTTGCCCTAGAGATCTCCCGCCTGGGGTTCGAAACCCAGGGGAACGACTTCTCCTACTACATCCTCATCTGCTCCGGCTTTCTCCTCAATTACCCCGAGTTTCCCGGGCAGTTCTGCATCTTCCCCTGGATCCTCTCCAGCTCCAACAACCTCTCGGACGAGGATCAGCTCCGGCCCGTGCTTGTCCCGGACCTGGTGCCGAGCCTGGCGGGGATCACCGAGGGGTTTTCCATGTGTGCTGGCGATTTCGTGGAAGTTTACAGCCACCCTGATCAGAGAGGTAGGCTTTAAGCTGTGCTAAAAGAAGGCTTGCTAATTGGCAAAGGGGAGCGTAGAGCAGCAATGCGAGTAACTGATTGATGTGTGCTGGTGATTTTGTGGAGGTCTACAGTCACCCCGAGCAGAGAGGTAGGCTTTAATCGTTGCCCTTCGCCGCCCACAATTAAGGAAAGCATATGTTAGTTATGTGCGTAACTGAGGGATTTTCTATGTGTTATTTCCCAGAACCCTTCACCCCTGGTTACTTACCAGTACCCTTCAGCATTGGGCTGAAGTGTACTGACGTTGTGGATTGCGTTGTTACCTTTTATTTACAGAATCTTACCCACCCATACATTGCACTGACTCCTCATCTTTCCTTTCTTCGTCCCATCTCTGCGACTTTTGAGGCGCCTCAAAAGTCTTCCTTCGTCCCATCTCTCCGTTGGTTCCCCGGACGGAGTCGCCGCAGGTGTGTGGGACAGTGTAGCAACGTGCTTCTTCATCGATACTGCCCGCAACATCGTAGACTACATCGAGATTCTTTTTAAGCTGCTTCGGCCGGGCGGAGTGTGGGTAAATCTCGGCCCGTTACTATACCATTTTGCCGATACACTGACTCCTGATGGCTCCGACGAATTATCTATAGAATTGAGTGCAGCAGATGTGAAGCGGATTGCTCTACAGTGCGGGTTTAGATTGGAGAGGGAAGAAATGCTTAAAGCCAACTACACTTCGAATCCTAGGTCGATGATGCGGACTGAGTACACTTGTGTTATGTGGACTATGGTTAAGGACTTTTAAAGAGATGCTATATACGGGTACTGCCAGCTGACACTTCATCCACCATTGCCTCTTCAGCTTATATTGAATCGGAGCAGATTAGCTTGCTCTTGTGAAATGTCTACAGTTCATTGAGTTGGGCAGGAGCCGTGAAGGATGCCTGGCTGGTGGAAATTCCATTACCGGGTTGTCGGACGGGGCTGGGATCAGGGCCTCAGCTAGGATTTTGGGCATCCTGTCTAGTCAGGGCTAGGCCTTAAAAACACGTGTACTGGTCAGGGTTGGACGTCAATGTTCATGCTGTTTTGTCAGGGTTGGCATCCAGCACTTAACTGCAGCCTCAGGGTAATCTTCAAAACAGCCCAAAATGTTGCTTTAAGTATAATAATAGCAGCAGCATAACACCAGAGATAATCAATATTCACAGTACTGCAGCATACATGTGGCTCGACTCAGAAGTTTCCACCATCCTCCTCATCATCACTAGAACTAAACCCGCTGCTGGAGCAGCTGTTCTCATCGTCCGCTCGTGCCTCATCATCATGCTCCTCTTCGGACAACACCACCACTTTCTCTTTGCCCTTGGCAGACTTCCTCGCACGCACTTCGCTCTGGTGGGCCCTCCTTGGCCGTCTCTTCTTCATGCCGCGCCACACCTCAATGACCCTATCCCAGTTCATGTCATACTCTAGCAAACTCATGCACATCAGATCCTCCAGCTTCCCGTTGCACAGACTCGTCCGGTTCCAGCTCTTAATCACATTTTGTCGCGAGAATCCCCTCTCGCACTCAACAGTGCTGAGAGGAAGCACTGCCACAGCCACCCACAGGCGCACGAGATTCGGGTAGCTGCGCGGCCAGTCGCTGGTCTCCAGGATGGCTGCAAGTCCGGCATGGAATGGCTGCTCCTCTTTTGGCACACCAGCAAGCACTGGCACGAGGGTGCTGAGTTCCTTGCGTGCCAGCCGCTTGTCGACTCCTGCGAGACACATACAGGAACAGCAACACTCGTAAATCAGCAACACTCATACAGGAACTGCAATATTTTAGCAAGTTGGGCATATAATATACATTGGCATGGATAACCTTACCTGGCAGAATTTCAACGCGGTCGCTGGCGTGGAAGAGTTCGACCACGCTGTCAAAGTGCTCGGCGCACTCCTCGTCCCTCGCCTCCGTGTTCCGCGGCCATGTTCGGGGCATCCACAGCTTTGACCCGTTGAGCCGCTCAAGGTCGCCGAGCCGCAGCTGCACGTTGTAGATGAGCTCGGTCGCGTAGGAGCGACAGGTGAGCGTGCAGGAAGCTTTGTCGCCGCGGGCAGTGGTGTAGTTTGGCAGCGGCTCCTCGTGAAGCTCGAATTGATGCACTCGCTCCATTCCGTCTGCATCGACGCCCTGCACGATCACATCTCGGTTGCTGGCGTGGCGCTCCAGAAACTTGGACAGGCGATCGCTGTTCGTGCCGAAGTTAGGCCCGCAGTTGACGTAGCGCGAACGAATGAAGACGATCGTTCGCCGTACCTGCGACTGCACGCCCGTCAGGTCGATCTGTAGGAGGGTGTCATGGGATGAAATAAGAACACGAGGAAGTAAGTAATTTTTTTATTGACGGCAGTATGTTTTTTGTTTGAATTGGTTGGAAACCATTGCAACCGCAATGGCTCACCTCGCGCTTCTGGAACAGCAGATTGAGGCTGTTGAGCTCCTCGTGCACGTCGGCGAGGAAGTACAGGAAAAAGTGAAACTTGTACGATGTGACGATGTGGTACATGGGTTTGTCGTAGAGGTGCAGCAGAACGATGACGGCAGGAAGCACCGCCACCAGCCTCAGAATGGCGCCGCCACGACTGAGCCACCGAACAAGGTGAATCCCTTGCATCTCCAGATTTGTCGCCGTGAAGATCTTTTGGAGGTCCTTGAACATCTTGTGCCAGTTGTGTGAACGCCCCAGCAGCTCAGCAACCGCGCGGATGATGGCATCCACAATTCCCAGCTCAGGCAGCGCGTTGGCAGCATCTCTGGCCGCGAGGGCTTCCCTGGATGGACGGGAGTAGAAACACGACGAAACAGTGGTTAGTGCACGGTTTTCTCAACGGGATATGAAGTCTATGCATGAACGAACCGATGCGCTATGCAGTGGACAGAAACCACATGCGGGATCCGCTGTCGAAGGCGCCCAACGACCCCGTTCGTGGCTCCAACCATCACTGCGGCACCGTCGGTGCTGATGCCCGACACCTTTGAGAGACTGATGCCGATGCTATCGAGGTAAGCAACAAGAGAGCCTTCCAGAGAAGCTGCATCACATTTGTCGACAGGAAGAAGCGTTAGAAACTCTGTGACAACAATGCGCTCGCGAAGGAAAGTAGCAAACACAATCATGTGCTTGCCACGAACTCTGTCGGTACTCTCGTCACAGCTCAAGCCAATGAACGGGCTTGACTCCAAGTGCTCCCGTTGACGAGCTCGAAGGTACATGGCTGTCGACTTGGTTAACTCCTGAAAGCCATACCTGCGCAAACCATGCAGGGAGATTAGTACATGCGAGAGATCAACACATGTTAAATAGTAAACGAATAAAACACCCAAGGACTTACGTTGTGAAGTAAGACCCGTAGCCTCGTTTGGGAAAACCAGGAGTACGTCGCTTTGAGAGGTGCCGCACAAGTTGCACCCACATCTCGATGGGCGCGTCGGACTGACAGATGAAAAGCAGAGTCTCCAGCAGTGCAGTAACACGCTCGCTCTGGACGGTATGTGTTTTCGCCAAGTCCTCCATGCGCAGCTGCCCCTCAGCGATCGCAGTGGCGGTGGCTTGTCTCCGCATCGCTCTCTTGTGCTTCCGCGTGCGCTGGTGGTTTTGCATCGCCTGCGTCTGGACGTCGGTCGCACCTTCTCCGCCCTTGCCGTAGTTCGTTCCGTGCCCGCCATGTTCCATGCAAGTCTTACACTTCAAAGCCGGGAATCCTGCACGGGTCTGATTAAGCACAAGCCAAGGAAAGTCAGTACTCCACCGCTTTTTAAATTGCCAGAGAGCCTCCTGGTACTTTCGTTCGGCCACGTCTTCAAGTTCGGTGTCCGATGACGAAGTCGGAGCTGTAGATGGTCCTGAAACAACAGGAGGGACGACGTGCAGAGTCGGAGCGGGAGTGTTTTGCGACCGCCCGAAACTCAGGGTTGCCTGCCGATAGCGTGAGGGCTCGAGCTTCTTCGACGGCGGTCCAATACGGGTCGACCCTTGATTAAAAGAAGTGCGGGGCGTAGTGCTTCGCTGAGGTGGTGTTGCTACAACATGGCGAGATGCCTCCTCTACTACTTCAGCGGTGTGCGTTCGAGGGGGAGGTGCCGATGCGGGAGGATTTCTTCGCAGTAAGTCTAATCCTGTCACGGCACCCGGGTGGGACGCTGTAGAAGGATCGTCGGGAGCCTCCTCCTCGTCGTCAGATCCTGGCGCAAGCATAGTGCCCCCTAACGAGGGGGCGGTTCACAGCAGAGAAACAGACCAGCGAGCACAAGCTCTATCGTCTAGAATGGTTGGATGATTCAAGGCATGAAAGGGAGCTGTGGGGAGGAAGGACCATGAGCGATGGCTGCGCGGGAGTTTGGTCCTCCCCACATGGAGTGGTTGGCCGTCCAACCATCCATGCATGCAATGCTGCGTCAGCGAGTGGACCGCAGTACCCCAACACCTTCTGAGGCCTGGCTGTGGTGCGCTGCGCTGGCTGTATACTTAGCCGCTATTGGCCAGAATTACAGGATTTGCAGTGCACGCGGCAAACTGGTCATTTCGCGGCAACAATCTACAGGCAAAATGTGCGCTGGCACGAAAATTATGGAACTATGGGCAGAAAACAGGGGGTACACCCGTAGCGCCCCCCCTGAAGCCAGATTCGAGGTATCAGGGTTATCCTCGAATTCATACTGAGCAGTCAGGGCTGGTACACGAACACTATACTGAGTTCTCAGGGTTGTCATATGATAACCATACTGAATTTACAGGGTCAGAAATTCATTTAATCGGATTTTTCAGGTCTGGCACCTCATACTCATCCTGAAAATCAGGAATTCAGGATAAAACATCCTGATATCTGAGGCCCTGGCTGGGATGGGGGATTTATTTTCGGTATAGGTTGGATGTTGGTCTCGGCTCGGCACTAGCGTTCTATTCTTCAGTGTTGTGAGTATGTTCGACAAATGATGAGAAACTAATACATCCAAAACTAAAGAATCATCAGTCTTCACAATATGTACAAGAGACGAACGCATCCCAAAAATCCTGCATCTACCATTAGCCATGCACTACACCAGAACCTGCTTCAGTTAGACGTCGTTAGTATCACATCCGCAAGGATCACGTCAGCCGATCAGTGGCCAAACCACCACCAGCCAGCGCACTAGAACTGTAGCTGCAGCAGGGTCAGCAGCAGCAGCAGAGGAGGCAGGGGCGGCAGAAGCAGCAGCAAACCCCAACGCCTCGCTGCCGCAAAAACGCTCAAGCCAGCTGAGCCTCGATCTCTCGGCAAAAACTGCTTTCATCAAAACTGACCCCTTCGATATCATCTCCTGCACCATCCACATCAGCAGTGCCATTGCAATTTGCATCCAAACTCCCCACTGCTGACTCTCCAACCCCCTCCTCCTCCTCTTCCTCCTCTTCCTCTTCCTCCCCCCCATGTGAAACTGACCCCTTCCCAGAAGCTTCTTCAGACACCTCTTCAAACTCCTCCTCAGTTTCCCCTTCCCCACACCCTCCCTCTGACTCCTCTGCTGCGGCATACTCAAGCCCCAGATCCATCAAATCACAGCCGTTCATCCATGCTGCTGGAACACCCTGCTGCTGCTGCTGCTTCCCCCCATCCGCCTCCTCCCCACACTCCTCCTCCTCCCCCTCCTTCGGAATCCCTTCCCTCACCTCCTCCTCCTCTTCCACCTTCCTCCCCTCCTCTGTCTCCCCCATCTCTGCCCCTCTGACACTGCTCTCCACCACTCTGGACCACGGGCTGTACACAGAAGGCGCAGCTGTAGAGCTCTCATGGGAATCCGCCCTTACCAGCACCTGCAAGCCCTCATCCTCGCTAAAAGCCTCCTCTGTATAATCCTCAAAATCACCCTTCGTTTCCATCACCTCCCCTTCACCTACCCCCTCCAACTCCTCCAGCACCCAGTTGGGTAAAACACCCCAGTGGGTTGAAACACCGTCATGGGGTAAAACACCCTCGGTGGGTAAAACACCCTCGTGGGCGTGCGCAGGAGACTCTTTCAGCAGCCAATCAAAAGGATCCGTTCCCTCTTCCGCTTCCCCCTCATCCCCCGCACCAGCGCCTTCCCCCTCCCATCCCCCCTCTTCCCCCCTCCCCCCTACCGTTTCAAGCCACTCCCTCATCGCCCGCTTAGTGCTGCTAGAAACCTGCCACGTGTCCTCCAGCAAATCCAGCTCGGCGATCCCTGCCCCTGGAGGCGACACGTCAGCAGGAGAGCCCGTGCCTGGAGCCAACGCGTCCACCAATCCCTGCGAGACCTGGAGACCCGCCGCGTCAGCGGCCATGTGGCGCTCTGGCGTGTGGTACGGCGTCATGTGCGGCGTGTGATACGGCGTTGACGTGACATCCATCGTTGCAGCAGCAGCAGCAGACGCCGGTGACTCACCTCCCTCACCCACAGCTGCTACAGCTGCGTCTGCTGCAGCCGGCAACTCCGCTACAGCCGTCGCATGGGCCCAACCAGCAAGCAGGCCCTCTGCAAGACTCCCCGTTGCAAGGCTCGAAGACACACGACAAGTCAGCCCACTAGCAGCAGCCTTCACTGTCGCCGAGTCCTTCCCCGCATCAAGCTGCTCGCTTCTCACTAAATCCTCCGACTCCGGCCGCGATCCTTCGTCTGCCCGTGAATCAGCCCTATCCGAGGCCGTATCCGTCCGCAATCGCTTGCCTGCCCGCAGCACCTCCACTTGCCACGTGTCACTTTCCAACAGGCCGTTGGGCTCATCCCCCATGTGCTGCTGCGTGCTTTCCTGCAGCCCGGAATCCCGCTGCTCGTTCAACTCCTCCGCTACTTTAGGGAGCCGATTAAAGCGGTCGTAAGGCGACGCGACCATCCATCCAGGAGTATTTGAAGTCATCCGCGGTCTGGACAGCGCAAAGCCGTCGGAGCCGCGACGCGCCGATACCACCGGCCACGCGGCAGCGCCGGCCGAATCAAACGGCCCGTCAAATCGCGACTGACGGCGGGAGAACGAGAATCCGCGAGATGCGGACGCGTCGTCAGATGGAGGAACGAGAGTCGCCGCCGCCACGGCTTCCGCCGCCTCTGCCGCTGCGACGACCTCTGGCCGCGAGTACTGCGCTATCAGATCGTTGATGTGAGCCGATGAGTCGATCCGCGGCACGTCCACCGCATCCCCGTTGTAGTCATCCGCCGCAACCCCGTTATAGTCGTCCAGCGCACGTTCCGGAGCTGCTCCTGCTGCTGCCGCTGCGGATGTCGCGAAGAGCCCACCGTCCCCGTTATAGCCTGCCGGATAAACCGAGTACGTCAGTCCCTGATGCCATAACGGATCAGCGAACTGCTCCTCGTACGAAACCGGCGAGTCCGCTAAGGCGCCTGCAAGAGAGCCTCCTAGAGAGCCTGCTAGAGGTCCCGGGTTCGACTCCCACACAGGACTTACCCGGTAGGGACCCGACGGGAACGCCACGTCAGCTTCCGCCGCTGCTGCAGGCAGGAGCTCCGGAAAAGCCGCACCGTGAAGAACACTTCCCTCTGAAACCAGAATTCTGGAGGCGGCAAACCCGCGGCCTTCACCCGACTCCATGACCTGCCGTTCCGTCGTGAACCGAGCAAGCTGCGACGCTCCGTTCCCCATCATCTCTTCTCTCCTGCGCTTCAGCGAGCCGCTGCGAGCTACACCAGAAAGGTTCATAGTCGCTGCCGAAAGCTTAGCCGTGGGATCATATGCGAATCTGTGCTCCGAGCTCGCGTCTAACCAGTGACGACCCTGCGCGCCTTCAAAACTTGCCCCTTCTGACGTTGGCCAGAAATCTGAGACAAACGCGGGGTCTGGAGACGGGGAAGCTCGTCTAGCCGCGGCAGCGGCAGCGGCAGCGGGAGCGGGAGCGGGAGCGGCTGTTGAGAACCGCATCGCGGACTGATCGTCGACGCGGCGTTGTTCTTTAACGGCTAGTGCTGACGAGTCCTCTGCAGGTCTATGACTCGTCCTCGTTGGCACTGACGTGGCAAACTCGATTCTATTGGCGAGAGTTTCTGAGACGCGTTCTGAGGCCAAAGCCATGGAACGAGGACGAGAATCGCCAACCGTGTCGAGACTAACGTGTACTGTCCGTGTGTTTGTCCGAGACTTATGAGATGACTCAAGTGTGACTGTCCGAGACTGTGATTGATACGCGTTGGATGCGACGAACGTCATGCTCAGCGTGACAAAAAGGCGTCCGTAAAACACGCAAGCTAGACTAGGCGAGAAGAGAGACAGCTCCTAAGGTTGTGCTGATAAAACCGCGCGAGGTTTACAGGTGTCAAAACGAACTTCGACGAGGCCAAGAAAAGGACGTTGATAGATCTCGAACTGTGTGACTTCTCAATAGGGTTTACGCCAACCCTTCAGGGCGTTGGATATGGCTAAACTGAAGCGTGTGAAACAGACAGGTAATAATGAAATTCCGAATTGCCAAACGAGGTGAAATACTCGTGACGACGACAAGGATGGATCGTGATGACCTCTTTGGGAGAAGCCGACTTGTGCTGTTGCGCGCGATGGAGACGAGCGACCAACTGTTGTGTGAACTGTACAAAAGCATGAGCTAAGGAAATTGGGCTGAAGAAGCCGACAGTGGGATTTGCAGTGAGGGGATGGAGGTAGGGTAGGGTGAGAGACATTTGAAGTAGGATGAGATAGGGTGGAGTGGGATGGGGTGAGGTAAGGAGTCAGCTCGTGAGTGGAAGTGGAAAGGAAGGTTTGAGATTCCTGGGGAATTGGCTGGAAGGTGATGGTTGAGAGGGGGGAGGAGTGACGTGTTGCTGGTGCGGCGCGGTGCGGTGCGTTGGTTCGCGGAACAGATCGGCAAATGAAAACGAAACTCTCGAGAGTTCCAATCCAAGTGGCTACCGCAGTGCTGTCATGAGCGTGGAAGGCGGTGACGCGGCTCGGAAAGTGTCTGATCATGACCCAACCACGCACGCTACGTCAGCGGGCAGAAAAGACTGCCCGCGAAGTCCAGACATTGTGGTTGCCCTGAATCGATTGCGTGGCCGTGTGGCACACCTTCACACGATTGCAGGTAGGCGTAGCGAATTGCAGTTTGACAGCTCCCTTGACCGAAAGAAACATCACTTTTACGAGGCGCTGTTTTCGTGGAAAATACTTTTGACAATTTCTAGGGAGGTCAGGTGCAGTCGCGGGAAGGCCGTCATGCGAAGCGGTTGGGGGGGCTGATTGGGTGCGAAGTTCGAATTTGGCCAATGATTCACTGGACAGCCAAGAGGGCGACGCTCCTCGGGAAAGCAAAAGCTGCTGATTGGTGCGACGTTCGCAAGCAATCCGTGCGAGCAGGTGCTTCACTTTGATTGGGAGCGCAACAGTCGTTAGCTATTGGAATTGAAGCTCTCTTTGCGCCGTCGATGTCAGGTTCCCGAGAGATCGTCGGCAGATCGCTGGTTAGTGAATTTCGCCGAACCAACGACCTTAGAAGATGGCTCGATGTGGCTGACCAGGTGGTGCTGCCGAAGCGCAGGTCATCAAACCAGTTTGATAACCTCAAGCCGCGACGGGCAACAACAAAGCGAGAAATGAGGCTGCTTGCTGGCATTGGACATGCCGTTTCAACCTCACCTAAAACCACACGTCACTGCAACGTCTTGATTGGCTGTGAGGCGGTTCTTGGGCTCAATTGGGGTCACTCGAGGATATTGAGGGGTGCCGCGCCGAGTACGCTGGGGGACTGGATGGGGGCAAACATGACTGCCGCATGACCTGGAGGTCGTTGTCTTGTGTCGGAAGATTCTCTCAAAGCCACACGAATTCAGAGCGACAAATACTGAACCCTCGTCTGTGTCAGAGAACGGGGTTTTCCGACAGGAGCCAGCGCGGCAACAGCCCAAACCACACTGGCAAGACGTCAGAAGTTCCACAGCGAAACTCGCTATTGGCGATCGTACGTTCGGGATGAGCTTGGTTTAGAAAAACCATCACTTCTGCTATGAGATGAAAATGACATAACCTAAGAAAGTGAAGAGTGGCTCGTTAGCTAGATGTAGGTACCAGTGCAAGGCAGTAAAGGTGGTGGCTTGGAACGGTCATGGGCATCTTCTACCCAAGCATTTACGAAAGACAGGGCCACTCTCTGGAGCAACAGAATGATTGCACTCTAGCAACAAAGGGGGTGTTAGAAATGATAAAAGAGCTTAAAGCCCGCGTCTCATATTTCCTAAGGTAATACGAAAGCCCGCGTCTGACTGGAAGCTCTTGAGCTTGGTTCCGGATTCTCGTTCGGCGATGGGTAGCCATGTCGTGAAGGCATCGAAGGCTTGATCGCGCGTCTTGAGGTTGTAGTGCCAGACGTATCTTGTTGCTGCGTCGATAAACGTAATGACATAGTTGAAGTCTGCTTCAGCGTTTTCTCGAGGCATGTTTAAAATGTCGCTGTAGACTTTTTCCATCGGTGCGTATGCATGTGCGCTTGGGTTGTGATGAGATGGGAAGGGCTGGTGGGGAAGATCGGCTTCGGGGCACGTAAAGCACCGTGCGCGTGGTCGTCGAAGTTCTTGGCCGCTCGTTGTTAGGAGAGCGTTGCGTTCTAACACTTCGGCTTGGATGGTTTGTAGTATTGTACTATTTGCAGGGTGCCCGAGGCGTTGGTGCCAGATGTCGTCGGGAGCGCGATGGCCGGGCGAGCGGTGGTATATGTCGGTGTTGGAGAAGAACGTGACGACCGTGGCGGGACTTCGACAGACTTCTCGTGTGATGGGCATAAGTTGATCTGCTTCAGTTGGCGCTCCTCTGATCGCTGGTGGTGGTACTCGGCTGGGTCCTGCTGCTGCTATTGCAGGTGATGGTTGAGAAGGGACACTTGCTAGTACTTGTCGTTCTTGTCTGATGACTGCTAATGCTCGTGTTCTCTTTGTTGCAGGTATGGTGTTGGAGTGCCAGAATCCGTCAGGGTCGAAGTCGGGGTCAAGATCCGGCGGGTGTGTCCAGGCAGCGAACGACACGATTCCGTCGCTGTCGGCAGTACCGCGGTCGGGGACGAAGTCCAACACGAAGACGCCGGACTTCAGGAGAGCACGACCGATGAAGAGACCGCCCTTCCCGTGGTAAAGGCGAAACTCGTTGGAGTAGGAGTCGCACTCCAGGTGAATCCCTTTTGCCATTAGCTGGCTTACGCTTAATAAGTTGTATCCCAAGTTGTCGACGATGAGGACCTTGTTGAGTTGAAGTATAACATTTGTCTCCATGGATTGTAACTGAACCACGCCTTGTCTGTTTGTTTTCAGGTTCTCGTTGTTGGCGACGGTGATGATGACGTCGCAGTTGAGGCGTCGCTCTCGTTGCACGAAGCGTCCGGAAGAACACATGTGTTGACCGCAGCAGCTGTCTAAGAACCAGGTGTTTCGCCCGGTGGGTTCGGCGTTGGCGACCGCAGCGTATGTCGGGTTGACCTGAAGTCCTTGTGAGCACGGCGGCGGAAGTTCCTCTTCATCTGGTGCGTAGGTGGGTGGTGATCCGGGTGCGCAGTTGTCGATATGTACCATGCAGCTAATGATGTTCAGTGTCCCTTGTGCAGATGTGGAGGAGCGCCTTGGAGGGCTTTCTTGAGTGGAGGCGACGTGTGGGTCTACTGGACGATAAACACGAGGACGTGTGCAGTTGACTTTGGAGTGTCCGGAAGTCTGACAGTTGTGGCAGAACGGCGGCACGAAGGTGAGTCCTCTGTTGTCGCGTTGATCTTGCTTACCACGTCGATTGTAGTTGTTATCGTTCCTTCGTTGAGTGTAGAAAACTAACTACTGCTGCTTCCTTGGTTGCCTTTCTTCGAACAGGTCCATCTCCTGTTGTTCAGCGTGAAGCTCGGCGCAGAGATGCATCTCCGAGATCCTTCCGTGGGCACGAAGAAGCGAGCGTGTGGTTCTCCATTCTGGTCCGAGCCCGGCGAGGACAAGCGTCACGAAGCTTTCCTCAGTGATTGTTCCTCCGCACCGAAGCAGGCGGTCGCGGAGTGTCTAGCAGCGACTCATATACTGCATCGCCTTTTTCCCGGTCTTCATCTGTATTGTTGTCAGTTGTTGCATGAGTCAGCTTTGTGTCACGCTGTCGTTTGCTTGATAGAGACACTTGAGATCATCCATGCGAGTTCCGCGGAGTTTTCATAGCTCCGATATGTTCTGATGCTCTGCTGTTCTTGTGGTGACAGGTTCCGCAGGAGAACTGTGTACGCCAGCAGTGACTGATAAGTAAATATTTCTTGCTCTTTTGCAGTGCCGTTGCTTGGGAATGGCAGGGCCCCGTTGAAGTATCCCAGGAGATGCGCAGCCTCCATCAGCAGCTCGAACTCAAAACTCCAGGTAAAGAAATCGTGTCCGTTGAATGGTGATGATGTTTGCAGTTTAATCACGTGTGAAAACTGCGCTTGGAGACTTAAAATCTCGTTTGGTGTTTGTTGTGATGCAGCTGCTGTTAGTTGGGCACGGGGCGGCATGAACTCGAACGTCCCCGGTGAAGAGTGATAAGGCGCAAAGGTAAGCGCTTGATTGTGTCGCCCGAACGATGAATTGTCGAGGCTCATCGGCGCTAATCCCATGTTTCCTCCGTTGCTCTGTTTGAATGCGCAGGTGTCCTTGTCTGCTGCTGCTGGTCGAAGTGCGACATGAAGCTGAAGAACCTTTCCATAAGATTCGGATCCACGCTTGAAGAGGGTGATGGGGTCACCATTTCCGGTGCTCTTCCTGTTGTTTCTTGAGCAGCGCCGGTCTCGGTTTGCAGTCCTGAAGTGTGCAATCCAGAGTTGCCAGGTTGAATGTCTTGGGCGCTGGGTGAGCCCGTAGAGATTTTCTTGCCCTTGCTGTCCATGACTTGTAATCAATGAAGTCGTTGAATTGCAGATTGTAGATGGAGCGTAGTTGCTGGGAGTTTGGTCTTTGACCAGCTCTCATACCATATTGGGCTGAGAAAAGCCCTTAGGATCTTTCCAGAGACTAAGTCCCAGTTGTAGAATGAGACTTGAGTAGTGCAGCGGAAGTTGAGTAGTTGAACCCTTGTACTAGTATATGAGAACAAGTGATTGATTAAAGAAACAAGCATACATCAATATATAGAAAATAAGAAAGCAGTTGTAGAATACAGTTGCAGGAGCGGTTATCGAGTCGCACAGCGACTCGATTGTCGCTTCGGTTACCATCCGCGCTGTTGTAACGGTCAGTCGCAACCTCCAGTTGTGACCCTTCGAGTCCCTTCGCGTTCTTTGTCCATCCCCTCGTGTAACCTCTGTTGACTCGCGTACCCGTTGTGATCTTCCTCGAGTGTAGTGTTACACTTCAGAAACGCTTAAGTCCTTTGAGATATTTCCAACAATACGCTTGGTACTAGGTAACGTAGCTGCTGTTTGTGCGAGGGCTCGCAAGTGAGTGCGAGAGTCGATATCCAACCTCAGCAAACCAACACGAGTACGCGTTTGCAGTAAGCAAGGTTTCGGATCCTGGGTTGGTTAAGCGGAATCAGGAC